TTCAGAGCCGTGCCATAGTGCATCAAAAATAAGCATTGGTCTAGGGCATAAAAAAATTTTAAAAACATTCAAGGCATCTTTTACTCTTAATTTTATTTAATTAGTACATTATTAATTATAATTTTATGGGTAAACAAAACATGAACTCATATAAACATTTCTTACTTTTCTTAAAAGAAAACAATAATTAATTGTTAAAATATTAAGATAAACAGAAAAATTTGTTCTATCTTATGTCATGTTATATTCAAAATCCTAAAATTGAAAGTTTCACTCTGATATAATTTTTCAATTCATGTTTTTCCGGTGAATCATCGTCGTTAAGAAAATGAGTTACTAATTTTTACCCGGTAAAACCTGTTTTGGATATCTTATACATTGAAAGAGAATTCGTCAAAAATATTAAATTATTTTGGTTTATTTATGACCATGAAGCTTAACGATTTTTTTTAAACTAAAAATTTTATTTTTTTCGTTTTGGTCTGCCTATGTTGTCACGGCTCTGCCTAGCTTGGGTCTCAATCACATGTATAAACCTAGCGATTTCAAGTTGTCATGAGAGAAGAGAGATGATTTGTACCGTGGTATTTTCTTCTGCGAATTGAAGGTCTTCTGGGACTAGACGAAGTGAAGACAAAGTTTCTGCTTCGGTAACCTAATTTGGAGCTCAAGCCATCATTTCATTGGTGACTTGAAGTTGGCAAGAACGATCCAAAGGGCAAAAAAAAAACTGTTTTTTGTCTTTATCAGGTTGATCCTGTTGCAGATTCATCAACTTTAGATTCATCACACCAGAACCAGCGACCTAACCGAATTGGGCTTATTAGTTGACGTAGAAAAGACGACAATACGAAACCGTAAATATATATATGTACACATAATTAATGCTCTCACGTGTGGAATCATTTTTTCGTATTTTTCTTTACATTATAATGTTCAATTTGGAATGATTTTTAGATTTTGGAATAAATAATGAATAATACAACGAAAATTGAACACAGCTAGGATTTGTAAATCTAGATGTCGAAACATATAACATGCACTTTGCCACGTTTAAACCAAAATTTAAATTTAACAAAATCGATTAAAACAAAACCGAACCAGACATAACAGAGATAAACCGGACCGGTATAACTTTTCCCACATTTAAAAACATACACACACTCTCTCTCTCTCGGACACACCACTTTCTCTGCAAGAAAAAATGGCGTCCATGAAACTCGTTCATCTCTTTCGACGTTACCTCTCGATCGTTCTTACTCTCTTTCAAACCCTAATCTCACGTTTCTTCGATTTTCCAATACTAATCAAGATCGCAGATTCCTTCTTATCTCTGTATTTCCTCGTTTTCTGCGATCTCCGACCCGTAACCGTCGATCTAGACGACGGAGAAAGCACCGTACATTTCTGGATCTCCGGCCACCGAAGAATCTCCCGACCGAATCTCGTCATGCTCCACGGATACGGAGGAAACTCGAAATGGCAATTCGTCCACCAAGTCTCCGATCTCTCCAAATCTTTTAACCTATTTATCCCCGATTTGGTCTTCTTCGGTAAATCATACTCCAAGAATCAAGATCGGAGCGTTGAGATTCAGGCGAGCAGCATCGTCGGAGGATTGAAGAAATTAGGATGCGACGGAGGAGGAAGAGGGAAGATCTCTGTTTATTCGATTAGCTACGGTGGGTTCGTGGCGTATAAAATGGCGGAGATATGGCCGGAGATGGTGGAGAAACTGGTGATTGTGAGCAGTGGAGTTGGGTTTACGCAGCAGGAGAAGACGACGGAGATGAGAAAACACGGTGGAGATTATTGTTCGGAGATTCTTGTTCCGAAAACTCCGATGGATTTACGAACGTTGGTTAGAATTTCGATGAATACTGGTTTAAAGTTTCTTGATTGGGTTCCTGATTTTATACTCTCTCAGTTTATAACTGTAAGTTTTTTCTTTTTTGTTGGGTTCTGTTTATTTATGAATCTACCCTCCAAGTTGTCTGTTTCGTTGATTAATGAACCAAAGGTTTGAATTATTTAGGTAATGTATGAGAAGAATCGGCAGGAGCTTCTTGAGCTAGCTAAGAATTTGTTGGAAAGAGAAGAGGAACCAGAATTGCCTGTAATATCACAGGTATTAATGATTTTACACACCTTGATTGATCAAAATTGATATTAGTGGTTTTTTTTGTTTAATGCCACTAATGATTTAACTTTTATCATTAAGATTAATCTTAATAAGTGGGCATGATGATGATGGGTAAGTACTAGCTGATACGTCGCAGAAGAAAAATTAATTTATGTTTGCATTGTTTAATTATGGGTAAAAGCATTATTATTTTGGACACTATTGTTTGCTTTAAGTAACTTTTATTTTTGTTTGTTTAGTAGAAGTCAATGTTGGTTAAAAGATGCTTTATTCGAATCAACGAATTCATAATTATTAACTTGGTGTCTAATTTGATATTATAATTCAGAAAACATTACTCGTTTGGGGTGACAAGGATAAGGTTTTTCCCTTGGAGCATGGTTATCGGCTGCAAAGGTATTATTTATACATTCCACAGAAATACAGTATATGTTATTTTGTATCCACTTGCACAACAAAAACACAACGGTTCAAACGCATCAATCGATCAATTTTTTTATATAACTGATGGGAATCTAATGTTTGTAGGCATTTGCAGAGTTCAAGATTAGAAATCATCAAGGAAATTGGACACGCTGTTAACATGGAAGCACCAACTACTCTTAATAATTTGATTACTTCGTTTGTGTTGAGTGTTTGATTTCTATTTTTGTATATATATATATACTTCATGTTATGTGCCAACTTGGTTTTTTTTTTGGTCAAAGTGGCAACTTGGTTTAAGTATATGTTTAACATCATTTAACGCATCAAATGCAGTAAAACCACAAAAAGAAAACAGGATCACTCGTTGTATCATCAAAGGACTAAAACTTTCATGCTTATTATACTAAAGTTGACAACTAATATTACAAAGCCAAAAAAAAAACCCACTAAAGATGAAAATAAAATAAAAACAATTAGAAAGTCCAACTATAAGAAAACAATTGATTTATTTGTTTGCCTATAAGACTCATAAATTTATATAATACATACACGTTGGCTTCCTTGTGCCTTCACTCTCTTTATTGTCTGATTTTTTCTCCATGGATGTGTAAAACTCTTGAAACCTACAACGACAAAAGTTGAAAACTCGACCTTTTCTTCTTTATG